ACCCGAGGAATAAAATCGCTCCTGCCGTCGGGGTCCTGGTTAATGCAAGACGAAGCCGAAGGCAGCTTCCGGAGAGGAAGCCTGCCGACCCCCACGGCCCGAGGAATGGCATGCTTGCGAGCAGACCTCAAGCAATCCCAGCTCGCGGGGCGAGCAGCCTCGTCGGGTGATGCGCCTCAGGCAAAAGTGAAGGGGCCCTGGGACACGCAAGTGAATAGACACAAATAACAGGATTCCCCATCTGTTCCCATATTTTCTGGGCTTTTGTATTCCCCCCCACTCCCCATATGTTCCGATATTTTCTGGGGAATCCAAGATTGATTGTGTTTGTGTGTTTTTATCCCTCCTGAAGCTCCGCCGTCAGTAAATCTATGCACGATCAACCTATCGGAGAACCGTGATGTAGGCGTCGAGGCGATCGAAGGCTCCGGCGGGGAAGTTCTGGTGTGCTTGCTGCCTTCCGTGGACTCGGAAACGGCCTCTGGGTCTTTCGAGTCTGCACAGGGCTGCAATATCGGAACGTCTCCCGAGATACAAAGAGGCAGTCTGTTCGAGATGACTCAGAAGAGGTAAGTGGCCGACCTTTTCGGGCACGGCGAGGGGGAACTCGCCATCTAGCATCAACCCCAAAGCGTCGAGAAGGGCTCGCGAGGACTACCTGGGGTGTGACGGATCGGCAGGTGCCAACAGGCTTCGTCCAGTGCCATCCGATTTCCAAAGCCCGCTACCTCGATTAAGCAAGGCTGCGACGATGAGTCGGTTCAGGACGATTTCGGGGCTTACGTTTGGTCCAGGTGGCTCTGCCGTTGGTCTGTTGTCTCCGCCCACAGGTACGTTCCCACAGGTCCCCAAAGCTTCCTGGGTGTGACGATGGAAAGGAGACAGACCACATCACAGCACGAGCTCACCCTTCGCAGATGATCTCTGACAGAGACCAGTCACGGAGTGATCGCCTTGAACTGGAGCGGTCGGGAGATGGAAGAACACGACGACCTAGTTCGGAGATGGACAGGCTTTTCCACTGCGATCCGTTACTTGATCATCGTTGAGCTCATTGTCGATTGTCGAAAGATATTGGAGGCTAGTCCTTCAGTGCGCGGGGCGAATGCAGAAAATCGTCGTTTGGGTTATGCGGGCCGATGTAGGCGTCCTGCACCTCATGCGAGATCGCAATATTGGAAAGAGCGTTTCCTGACGCAGCAGGGAGAAAGTGTGGGGGGAGGGGGGGGTCGAACCCCCCCTCCGGAACGTGGAGGGGGGGGGTTCGAACCCCCCCCCCGGGGATTCCAGAAAGTAGAAGGGGGGGTTCGAACCTCCCTCCCTCTCCCTCCCGGGAAGGGCGGGGGAGTCGGAGTGGGGGGGTTCAAACACAGCCCCTCTACCCCTCCAACTCACGGGACAACCATTGGGAACACCGGCGGGACAACCATCGGAAAAGCTATCTGGACAACCACCAGGACAAGTACCTATGACTTATCTATTGGTCTCACTGTCCATCTATCTATCCATCTCACTGAATCGATGGGTACCGACGTCGCCGAGCGCATTTATGAAATCATGTTGGAAAGCATCTAGAAGTACCGAAGGCGCCGAGCGCATTTGCTTGTCATGTGGACGACAACCTCCAGGCGCCAGAGGCGCCGAGCGCATTGTTTTGGCTGGAATCAATCGGGCGAACCATCCGGACAACCATCGGAGCAACCATCGGGACAACCATCGGGGGAGCCATCGGGACCATCATCGGGACAACCGCCGAGACAACCATCGGTGAAACATCGCGACAACCAACGGGGGAACCATCGGGACAACCATCGGGGTCATCGGGACACCCATCGGGACAACCATCGGGACAACCGTCGGGACAACGGGACAACCATCGGGACGACCATTGGGACAACCACCAGGACAACCAACAGGACAGCCATTGGACAACCATCGGGACAAACATCGGGACAACCGTCGGGACAGCCATCAGGACAACCATCGGGACAACCGACGGGAAATCCACGGGACAACCTCGTGACAACCACAGGGACATCGGCGCGGCACTTGTCGCCAACAGGCCGGAGGATGGACTTTTGCTCTGACGTCGCCCTAGCCACAGCGGGATCGCTCCGCTCGCCGGCCCACGCAGTGCAGCTTCGCCTCGCCCGCGCGCACGGCGCGAACACGAAACCGAAACCGACTGTTTCGCGGCATTCGGGACTGCCCCGCCGAGAAATCGTGAGATCGAGTGCCGCGCAGCACCTGGGCCAGCCGGTCCCGAGCCCACTCTGCGCGACTGCTAGACGGTTGCAGCACGGGGGCAGAGCGCGGGAGGGGAAACGGGCAGAGAACGAGGGAGAGGGCGATGTGGGGCGCGGGTGCGACCGCCGAAGGCACCGGCGCATCCGCCCGCGCACGCGGAAGCGGCCCACAAAGTATTTGAATATTTGGAGAAGGGTAGGGAATCATCGCTGAAGTATGTCACATCTCACAGCGCACGCGCGTTTTCGGCGCAGCCCGCGGGCGGTCGACGCCGACGCATCTCATGGGCAACCGACACCAGGGGCACGTCACGCTGGCAACGGGCA